CCGGGGTTACGTGTAGCGCGCGGTATAATAACACACGGGATTCATCCTCGGCCCCAACATGCGCGTACGTCGATTCCCGACTGGAATAATCTGCACCCGCGTTTGTACACTCAGCCTTGTGGTTGCGAAGGGAGATTTCTAAAGGTTACATAACACTTTATTTTGAATAAAACTAAATGTACACAGAAATCTTCACGTTGGCGAGTGAAAATGAATTTCTCCAGTTTGGAAGACCGTATCTTCATGCAACTTTCAGGATTTATTTCCCTTAATGATCCAAGTATGTGCTAAAATCGTTGTGATATATTCATTACTTTCGTTGAAATTGGAAAAATAGGCCTTGTGACGGGGTGTCGGGTACCAAATCTCAACTTCAAACTTGACAGGCTTGTATGTGTAATCGGGTGAACACGGTTTAATCTGTCCATAACAAATACAAAATTTAATTTAAACAGTTGTAAATTGTAAGAATGAATCAACAACAATTTTTTTTATAATTGAAGTTAAGCAATCATAACTAATCACATAACATCAGGCAATTAACAGGATCGATGACACCAGGCTTGTCTGTGGGTCTACATGTACATTTTGTACCATTACACGCAATGACCCTATTGTCACATGTAATAAACGACAATGCACATACATGTACATTATAAACTATGTTATACTTGTGTGTGTTTTCCCCAAATTAAATACCTTAAACTTATCCCAGAACCCAAAGCGTGTCCATAATAACCAAATAAAGGGATTATAAATGATGAGTTATGTATATTTCAATTACGACTTTGGGATGACGTACTAACAAAACATGACATATGGCGACTGCAAAAGTGTGACTGGATGAAATATACCAAATAATAAATTTATCAATAAGGCCAACAACAAAAATAGTCGGTCTCTGGTCAGACCGACGTTCCGGAATTGATGCGGCGACGCGTTGTTTTTTTTTTTTTTTGGTGGCTTTTTTTTCAAGCTTGAATTGTACAGACAAGGTGGGTATTATTTTGCTTTTTGGTGTCCTCATTATACATTGGTGTCCTCCATAATATGCCTTGGTGCCCTTTATCATTTGCCTTGGTGCAATTTCCCAATTCCTTGGTGCTCCTTGGTACAAAAATTTGAGGAGGTGCGGCAATAAAGGGCGCTGTTGTAGCTTCCGTGTTGATTTGAAGAAGAAAAAAAAGTTGGCGCGCATGATTAAAATCGACGCGCGCTGACCAGAGACCGAGTATTTTTTTTTGGCCTAAACGAGCATTCTGACTTAACAGGACTGGTTAAGTGCATTTTTGAAAGTTGTAACACTGGCGTTTGCAATATCTGTCAATCTTTTCAAGCCTCTGGTGAAAAATTGAAGAAAAAGCCTCCTTCACGAATTATTAATTGATAAATATCACCCTTTTTGCCGGCTTCCATTGGTCAATACCGAGACCCACGCCAAAACACGCCGAGTGACGGTTATGAATTTGCTAATCTACCATACGTTATTATGTAGCTTGGCCGGAATCGGTCAACCGTAGCGCCTACGGCGCTTGTGCTGAACAATGCACGTGAATTGGGTCGGCAGAAAATCCTCGTCGAAATTTTCCTAAGAGATGGTTCAAGGTGTAGCACTAGCGTTTGCAACAACAAATTAAGCTGAAATTTGGAATATACATGTACTTTGGTGATAAAAGTGTTCAACTACTCGTGAAATAACAATTTGGAAAATTCATAGAAATTGATATAAATACATAGATTTGGGGAAGTTTTCGAACGATTTCTTACAGACTTGAAGGTCAGCTACACCAGTAACCAGTATTGACGTTTTGGCATCGATGACGGCGATTTTTTTTCACTGACCTGAAGTTTAGAATGTTGTCTTCCGTTATAATTTAACATTTCAATCATACTGAGCATATTTCCGGAGAAACACAACGTTCAAAGGGTTATTTTTGTGTGATGAATGAATTTTACTGCTCTGCTATAGCGTCTATACGTACGTAATCGGATTAGCTTTGCTTAACAATGACTGCACAAGGCCATGCAACGTGCTACCAAAATTGGACAGAGCACTCTGATTGGCTAAGAATCAGAAGGATATGAATATTTTTATTACACATGACATTTACACGTCTCGGGGCACGTGCGCGAGCGTGTACACGTGACTTGCGTGGTGAATGCCTCACCATGCAACACGTATAGCGAATCGATTGCTCGAGGCTTCGAAAGCTAATTCCTTGGTCGTTTGGAAAACAAGATTTTGACATTTCATTTTATATTTACCACTGAGTGTAATATTTTAACGAAATTCGTTCGAAAACAGAGAGAGAGAAAAAAAGAAGAAGCGCTCATTGATCAATCATGCATGCGAACTATATCTCACTCTCAGAATGCTTCCCAAACGCCGTGTGGTTGCGAAGGCTAATTTGTAAAGGTTACGTAACACTTTATTTTGAATAAAACAACATGCACACGTACATGTTTACGTTGACGGGCGATATCTTTGAAAATTTATTTCTCCCGTTTGGGAGACCGAATCTTCTTGCAACTTTCAGGGATTGTTTCCCTTATAATGATCCAACTATATATGTGCTAAAATATCGCTTAGATATGTTATTACTTTTCGTTGAAATTGGAAAAATAGGCCTGGTTACGTGCATTTTTAAAAGTTGTAAAACTGGTGTTTGCAACATCTATAGATTTTTTCAAACCTCACGAATATTAATAAGGTTCCTATCAATTATGGTTTGCAGTGAAAATTTGCAGAATAGCCTCCTTCACGAGTTAATTATTAATAAATATCACCCTTTTGCCAGCATCAATTGGTCGATACCGAGACCCACACGAAGTCACGCCGAGTGACGCTAATGAATATGCTAATAATCGCTTCGTCATTGTTGCCCCAAAATCGGCCAAGCATGCAAGCTAACCTAAAAAACCATGCACGTGAGTTTGGTCGGAAAACAACCCTCGACAAAATTTTGCTTGGAGATAGTTCAAGGTAGTTCAACAAATCAAGCTGAAATTCGGAATATGCTAAAATGCTACTCGTGAAATAAGAACTTGAGGAGATTTCCAGACACTGAGATAAATACATAGATTTGGGGACATTTCTTCCCGACTTTAAGGTCAGCTTTACCATATTGACGTTTCGGTATCCATGACGGCGATTTTTTTTCACTGACATGAAATTTAGAATTTCTTCTTCCGTTATAATTTAACATTTTAATCATTTCGCTGGGTGCATAAGTGAGTAACCATCCGAATTCATATTAGTCGTTAGACATGTCGAGATTGGGAATTAATGTAAACACGATACACAGCAGGCCCCGTGCTAGTAAATATGGGGGCCCCGGCGGACTAAACACGACTGCCTAACGACCCGTCCTCAAGTCTAGGCCAATAGATGCTATTATAACACCTCATCACCCCCAGATTCTGTTTCGCGAGAACAAGAGATTCGCGTTTGCCTAGTCACTGAAGCGGAGGTGGCAACCGTCATTTCGAAACTTCCCGATGGGAAAGCTCCAGGCCATGACGGATTAAGCTCATTTGTTATCAAAGAAGCAAGGCACGCGTGACAGTATGAAAATAGCATAGTATTTATATATAAAATGGTAGTAAATATAGTTTTGTAACTATATAGACCAATATCAATATTACCTAGTAAATATAGTATTTGTAACTATGTAGACCAACATCAATATTACCTGTGTTGTCTAAAAAAAATTTTTAATTGTCTAGAAACGACTGATGGAATTTATTGAAAAAAATACAGTATATGTTAACAGATTCACAGTATGGTTTCATTGCTAAACGCTCAACTAAGCTGGCTTTTACAAGTGTTATCAACACGATCACTGAAGCTAAATTGATAATAAAGAATTTTCAATGGGAATTTTCTTGGACCTTTCCAAGGCTTTTGATACGTAAACCACGACATTCTCATAAGAAAACTGGAACATACTGGTGCCCGAGGCATTGCCTTGAACTGGTTTAGGAGTTATTTGAAAGACAGACAACAGTATGTCGTATTTTATTCCTCAACATCACAACATAAAACAACATATGGTTAAATTGTGGGTGTCAAATTATGAGGACTCATGGGCCGGCGCAGCCCACTTCGGTCAACACACGTACACTTTTTAAGCCCTAAAAGCTACCCGCGGCCCGATGTACACATACAGTAGCATAACCTTGAAATCCATGTTACAGAAACAAAAGTTTATACGGAGATCAGTCTAAACCCTCACCCAACAGGAGTGCAGATTTGGTGCACATTATGGTTTAAGTTTAGTGCAGGTGTTTTCTAAAAGCTTGTCTGCACCAAATTGACACCTTAAGTTGTACATGGTGTAGTTTCGGTGCACCCTGTAAAATTTCAACCAGAGAACTATACATGGGGTTGCAGATTTGCTGCACGGGCAACATTTTAGCAGCATGTACTAAATCCTTACACCAAAACTGCACCAATTTCGGTGATGGGATCCGCTATTGATGGTGCGATCAAATTATTTCCATTCACTTTACCATTGATTAAGACAATCGTTTACTAATGGTAACTACCATTGAACTGACCATAGATTTTTACCATTGATTTACCATTGATTACCATTGCAATGGTGCTTTGGAACACTACCATTGGAATACCAGTGAGTTTACCATTTGAACCGCTGATAACACCATTTGATTCACTGAATGGTATACCATTGATTAAACCACTGGTTCCACTCAGATCAACGGTATGCATAGGTATAGATAAAATTCAAATCAATGGTATTTCACTGATAACACCATGCAATGGTTTCAATGGTATACCACTAATTGATAACACAAATGGTGCCACCCAACTGTTGGTATACAACAGATCATACCATCGGTTCAATTGAATGGTATACCATGGATAATACCACTGGTTGCAATCAACGGTTAACCATGGATTATACGTTCAGACGCATGTGTTGATTGCCTCCTATAACACCATACATCAATAAAAATAAACATTTGAGTCACATGTATTTGAGGTGATGTACAGGTAAATGCTACTTTATTCATCTTCTGTGAAAAAAATTAAAACTGGATGATCAATTCTTTTAGAATGTTGAATTTGATATCAACATATATCCTTTGACTAGAAAAACCAAAAAAAATCATAAACACATTGGCTTCATTGTTGTATCTGTCCCGAAAACATTTTAAAAATTAAAAATTAAAAGGTCAGTTTAGAATTGTATTTGATGTATACCTTTTCACCAGAATTTCAGCTCATTGACGGTGCCAGCAGTATTGGCGCGTTTTTATACATAAAATGGGGATAAGATTACGTCTCCGATGTATGCATCATTTTAGTGGTCGTTTATGTTCATGGACACAGTTATAATAATGTTTATGGAGCCTGCCAGATGAGATAATTTAGAGCATAACAAAATCAAGGAATACAATACAAAGTCATATTACAGGAAAACATGCAAAATGTATTATTGCTTAAAGAGGATTAACTATGTTTAGAAAAGAAATTGCAGTAGTTCTTCAAGCAAATTTAAAGCATATACATAAAACACAAGTTATCATTATACATGTGATGTTATTTTTAACAACAAAAACAGGAAAACAAATAAGTGATTACTCAAAGGGCTGTCAAATGAAAGAACATGTGGGATGTATGTTTATGAAAATCATTAATTAACTTCCAGTACAGTTGACCAAAGGCTGATACAACATGCCTAGCGTAGCTAGTGTTCTTCCAAAGAAACCTGTATAAATGGAGACAGAGAAGTAGATAAAATAATGTTGCTTATTTTTGTAGTCAATTAACGCAAATCATTTCTAAACATGAGCCACAATATAATAAGACCTGAAATGCGGGCTGTTAGTAGTTTGTATCCAAGTCAGAAATAAAACACTTAAGAACACTTGCACACAATCCAGCCTTTAATTGTATTAAACAGATGAATCTTAATGCATGATAGTAAAATGGTGCCATTAGCACAATCTTGCATACTGTTTAGAAGCAAACTACCCTTAGATCACCAATTTTAAATTAATTTCTCGAAGAGAATGAAAAAAAAATGTTACTTTTACAAATAAGATTTCAATCCATCGTGCATTCTTTAAGTGAGCGTGTAGAGAAATTTGGTGTACTAAACATGTTACATGCACAGGTAACAGAGAAGCTGTTGTTACCTTAATAATTCCCTGTAGGAGCTATAAAGGAGTTCTATACGACAGTGCCCTGATTCTTCCTCATTGAATGGCCCCAAACACAGTCTATCAGGAACAGAAAATATATATACAGGCTGTCATCGAACATGAACTACTCTACATTTTAAATGGTCATCAGACATGTCAGAGAATCAAGTACAATATTACATCTTAGGATATTCACATTGTCATGATTGTCTAGATTAATGTGAATAACCATAACAGCAGGCCTTACGGCACAGCAAGTAAAGAAACGAAATACTTGGCGAGTCAAAAGCACGAAACCCAAATATCAGGACTATTGTTTTATTGAAGTTCTGCATGTTGAACTGTCAAAATCTAGGATATGAAATATCATAAGCTTTCTTTTAATTTAAAAATTATTCAAATCAACTAGGTACCTTTCAAGTTACGGAATTAAAAATACAACCATCGTTTTAAATATCTGTCCATGGATCACACCAAAGAAATTTGCTTGAGAGCCAGCTTTTCTGTTGGCAGTTACTCTCTGGAGTCTCAAACCTCCAAAGAGAAAAAGAAAACGATGTTTGTTATTCTGCATGCAGTCTCAACTTAATTTCAACATCAATTCAAAGACTTTTCCTTCCAAAGTCCATAACGCCATTTTTGGTCACTTTTTGGGAAAAATTTGCTTGAAAGCTAGCTTTTCTGCTGGCAGTTAATCTCTGGAGTCTTAAAACTCGAGACATTTGGCACCAGTATTCCAAATGGCTATATTGCATTTTGGAAAGTAAGTCTTTGACTTCAACACCTACACATACAAAACACAGGGGCCCCACGATACAATAAAACACTCAGAAAAAAAAACACATGAAATTAAACATGGAACAAACTCAACTCGGAAACCGCCAACAGCACCCTCAGTAGAGAACATGCCGTCCCAGCCGTCGTCAGTACCTGCAACAAGAGAAAGGGAAGAAAAAAAACTGCAAAGAGAAAAAGAAAACGGTGTTTGTAGTCTACATCCAGTCTCAACTTAATTTCAACATCAATTCAAAGACTTTTCCTTCCAAAGGCCATAACGCCATTTTTCCTCACTTTTTGGGAAGAATTTTGCTTGAGAGCCAGCTTTTCTACTGGCAGTTAATCTCTGGAGTCTTAAAACTCGAGACATTTGGCACCAGTATTCCAAATGGCTATATTGCATTTTGGAAAGTAAGTCTTTGACTTCAACACCTACACATACAAAACACAGGGGCCCCACGATACAATAAAACACTAAGAAAAAAAAACACATGAAATTAAACATGGAACGAACTCAACTCGGAAACCGCCAACAGCACCCTCAGTAGAGAACATCCCGTCCCGGCCGTCGTCAGTACCTGCAACAAGAGAAAGGGAAGAAAAAAAACTGCAAAGAGAAAAAGAAAACGGTGTTTGTGAGTCTACATCCATTCTCAACTTAATTTCAACATCAATTCAAAGACTTTTCCTTCCAAAGGCCATAACGCCATTTTTCCTCACTTTTTGGGAAGAATTTTGCTTGAGAGCCAGCTTTTCTACTGGCAGTTAATCTCTGGAGTCTTAAAACTCGAGACATTTGGCACCAGTATTCCAAATGGCTATATTGCATTTTGGAAAGTAAGTCTTTGACTTCAACACCTACACATACAAAACACAGGGGCCCCACGATACAATAAAACACTAAGAAAAAAAAACACATGAAATTAAACATGGAACAAACTCAACTCGGAAACCGCCAACAGCACCCTCAGTAGAGAACATCCCGTCCCGGCCGTCGTCAGTACCTGCAACAAGAGAAAGGGAAGAAAAAAAACTGCAAAGAGAAAAAGAAAACGGTGTTTGTGAGTCTACATCCATTCTCAACTTAATTTCAACATCAATTCAAAGACTTTTCCTTCCAAAGGCCATAACGCCATTTTTCCTCACTTTTTGGGAAGAATTTTGCTTGAGAGCCAGCTTTTCTACTGGCAGTTAATCTCTGGAGTCTTAAAACTCGAGACATTTGGCACCAGTATTCCAAATGGCTATATTGCATTTTGGAAAGTAAGTCTTTGACTTCAACACCTACACATACAAAACACAGGGGCCCCACGATACAATAAAACACTAAGAAAAAAAAACACATGAAATTAAACATGGAACGAACTCAACTCGGAAACCGCCAACAGCACCCTCAGTAGAGAACATCCCGTCCCGGCCGTCGTCAGTACCTGCAACAAGAGAAAGGGAAGAAAAAAAACTGCAAAGAGAAAAAGAAAACGGTGTTTGTGAGTCTACATCCATTCTCAACTTAATTTCAACATCAATTCAAAGACTTTTCCTTCCAAAGGCCATAACGCCATTTTTCCTCACTTTTTGGGAAGAATTTTGCTTGAGAGCCAGCTTTTCTACTGGCAGTTAATCTCTGGAGTCTTAAAACTCGAGACATTTGGCACCAGTATTCCAAATGGCTATATTGCATTTTGGAAAGTAAGTCTTTGACTTCAACACCTACACATACAAAACACAGGGGCCCCACGATACAATAAAACACTAAGAAAAAAAAAACACATGAAATTAAACATGGAACGAACTCAACTCGGAAACCGCCAACAGCACCCTCAGTAGAGAACATCCCGTCCCGGCCGTCGTCAGTACCTGCAACAAGAGAAAGGGAAGAAAAAAAACTGCAAAGAGAAAAAGAAAACGGTGTTTGTTAGTCTACATCCATTCTCAACTTAATTTCAACATCAATTCAAAGACTTTTCCTTCCAAAGGCCATAACGCCATTTTTCCTCACTTTTTGGGAAGAATTTTGCTTGAGAGCCAGCTTTTCTACTGGCAGTTAATCTCTGGAGTCTTAAAACTCGAGACATTTGGCACCAGTATTCCAAATGGCTATATTGCATTTTGGAAAGTAAGTCTTTGACTTCAACACCTACACATACAAAACACAGGGGCCCCACGATACAATAAAACACTAAGAAAAAAAAAACACATGAAATTAAACATGGAACAAACTCAACTCGGAAACCGCCAACAGCACCCTCAGTAGAGAACATCCCGTCCCGGCCGTCGTCAGTACCTGCAACAAGAGAAAGGGAAGAAAAAAAACTGCAAAGAGAAAAAGAAAACGGTGTTTGTTAGTCTACATCCATTCTCAACTTAATTTCAACATCAATTCAAAGACTTTTCCTTCCAAAGGCCATAACGCCATTTTTCCTCACTTTTTGGGAAGAATTTTGCTTGAGAGCCAGCTTTTCTACTGGCAGTTAATCTCTGGAGTCTTAAAACTCGAGACATTTGGCACCAGTATTCCAAATGGCTATATTGCATTTTGGAAAGTAAGTCTTTGACTTCAACACCTACACATACAAAACACAGGGGCCCCACGATACAATAAAACACTAAGAAAAAAAAACACATGAAATTAAACATGGAACGAACTCAACTCGGAAACCGCCAACAGCACCCTCAGTAGAGAACATCCCGTCCCGGCCGTCGTCAGTACCTGCAACAAGAGAAAGGGAAGAAAAAAAACTGCAAAGAGAAAAAGAAAACGGTGTTTGTTAGTCTACATCCATTCTCAACTTAATTTCAACATCAATTCAAAGACTTTTCCTTCCAAAGGCCATAACGCCATTTTTCCTCACTTTTTGGGAAGAATTTTGCTTGAGAGCCAGCTTTTCTACTGGCAGTTAATCTCTGGAGTCTTAAAACTCGAGACATTTGGCACCAGTATTCCAAATGGCTATATTGCATTTTGGAAAGTAAGTCTTTGACTTCAACACCTACACATACAAAACACAGGGGCCCCACGATACAATAAAACACTAAGAAAAAAAAGCACATGAAATTAAACATGGAACGAACTCAACTCGGAAACCGCCAACAGCACCCTCAGTAGAGAACATCCCGTCCCGGCCGTCGTCAGTACCTGCAACAAGAGAAAGGGAAGAAAAAAAACTGCAAAGAGAAAAAGAAAACGGTGTTTGTTAGTCTACATCCATTCTCAACTTAATTTCAACATCAATTCAAAGACTTTTCCTTCCAAAGGCCATAACGCCATTTTTCCTCACTTTTTGGGAAGAATTTTGCTTGAGAGCCAGCTTTTCTACTGGCAGTTAATCTCTGGAGTCTTAAAACTCGAGACATTTGGCACCAGTATTCCAAATGGCTATATTGCATTTTGGAAAGTAAGTCTTTGACTTCAACACCTACACATACAAAACACAGGGGCCCCACGATACAATAAAACACTAAGAAAAAAAAAGCACATGAAATTAAACATGGAACGAACTCAACTCGGAAACCGCCAACAGCACCCTCAGTAGAGAACATCCCGTCCCGGCCGTCGTCAGTACCTGCAACAAGAGAAAGGGAAGAAAAAAAACTGCAAAGAGAAAAAGAAAACGGTGTTTGTTAGTCTACATCCATTCTCAACTTAATTTCAACATCAATTCAAAGACTTTTCCTTCCAAAGGCCATAACGCCATTTTTCCTCACTTTTTGGGAAGAATTTTGCTTGAGAGCCAGCTTTTCTACTGGCAGTTAATCTCTGGAGTCTTAAAACTCGAGACATTTGGCACCAGTATTCCAAATGGCTATATTGCATTTTGGAAAGTAAGTCTTTGACTTCAACACCTACACATACAAAACACAGGGGCCCCACGATACAATAAAACACTAAGAAAAAAAAACACATGAAATTAAACATGGAACGAACTCAACTCGGAAACCGCCAACAGCACCCTCAGTAGAGAACATCCCGTCCCGGCCGTCGTCAGTACCTGCAACAAGAGAAAGGGAAGAAAAAAAACTGCAAAGAGAAAAAGAAAACGGTGTTTGTTAGTCTACATCCATTCTCAACTTAATTTCAACATCAATTCAAAGACTTTTCCTTCCAAAGGCCATAACGCCATTTTTCCTCACTTTTTGGGAAGAATTTTGCTTGAGAGCCAGCTTTTCTACTGGCAGTTAATCTCTGGAGTCTTAAAACTCGAGACATTTGGCACCAGTATTCCAAATGGCTATATTGCATTTTGGAAAGTAAGTCTTTGACTTCAACACCTACACATACAAAACACAGGGGCCCCACGATACAATAAAACACTAAGAAAAAAAAAGCACATGAAATTAAACATGGAACGAACTCAACTCGGAAACCGCCAACAGCACCCTCAGTAGAGAACATCCCGTCCCGGCCGTCGTCAGTACCTGCAACAAGAGAAAGGGAAGAAAAAAAACTGCAAAGAGAAAAGAAAACGGTGTTTGTTAGTCTACATCCATTCTCAACTTAATTTCAACATCAATTCAAAGACTTTTCCTTCCAAAGGCCATATAGCCATTTTTCCTCACTTTTTGGGAAGAATTTTGCTTGAGA